CAAATGAAGATACTTTGAATACTGTGTGTAACCGAACAGTTGACGGTTCCCATTGACTGCCATAGTATGGTTTGGTTACCAACATTCTTCAAAATATCTTCTTTTGTTTTCAACACAAGAAAAAAAAACTCACACAGGTTTGGAACAATATGAGGGTGAGTAAATGATGACAGATTATCCATTTTTGGCAGAACTATCCCTTTAACTATCTACTTATCATGTTAGGTTAGTTTTAATTAATAGTCTTTCATATAGTTCTCACAACAACAAAAATCATAGTATTTGTGCTTCTAATGAGTAAAAAAGTAATGGGATTCTGTGTAGGGAAAGTTCAGGGGATTTTCGAAAACATGACATACATAAGTACATGTGAGTACATAGATGCAAGGCATTCTGATGAAAAGGACTGTGGGTAATAATGACTCATTGTCTACAGAAATGGTTGTTAGGGGTCTCTAATGTGGGAGGTCAGACAGAGCTAATGCTGGACTCACAGTGAGAATGATGTCACCAACACCCCCCAAAGCAGCCCACGCCAGAGCAGGAAATACCTCATCTGACCTGCTGCACAACAGCGAGGTTCTTAAGAAATACATGCATTTAAAGACTGTCTAGACAGTGAGGATGACCATAAGTGAACAATAACACTTTAGGGGCACAACAAATAATATGAAGTGATCCAGTCTGTGACCCTTCTGTGCAGCAATTATGGAGTTAGCAGATGTTAGGAAAGTTGTGCCCAGTGTTGATTAAATATTTCTTTGTGCTTTAGAGGAAACGTTGTATATTGTACCTACGTACAGTACAATGTGTGACTTATTGCTGGCTTTGGGAACATGTATGACCTTAGCTGTTATGTGGGAATAAGAGGAAGACCTTCATTTTCCTGCAGATAGATGCTAGAGGAACTTGGCCTCTTTGTGATCTAGTAGTTACAGAGCAATTTAACGGCCACAGGAAGTGTATGTGCTGTATAGAGTATATTGAGAGAAGTGATACTGTGGGGGAAAACAGCTATCAGAGTGTGTGCGCTGCTATACGTACTGTACATGCACAGCGCAGCATGTCACAGGCCTGCTGCTCAGGTCATGTGACCCATTCAAAATCAAATAAACACATGGGAAAAAGGCATGTATCCTGGTTTTTCTAGTTATATTATATGTTTTGTTTGACTGGCATAATGTAATTTTACGCAAATTGAATTAGAACTATATAATACAGTGTTGCTACTTGAGTTTCTTATTATTCCAAATAAACTAAATCCAACAAAAATTCCAAACAACATTGCCACAATTCTGAAATAAATAAATAAATAAATAAACAAACATTTGTTATCAATTATTATTAGTGTGCAAATAAAAATAATGGTTATTTTTATTATTAATGTTGAAAATGTATTTTTTATTAATAAGATAAATTATTATTTAATTAATAATGTTAATATTTTTTAGGATTTTTTTGATGAATAGAAGGTTCAAATGAATAGCAGGAATAAATTACATGTTACAGTATATTCAAATAGAAAACTTAAAAAAAAAAATTGTAATAATATTTCATAATATTACTATTTAACTGTATTTTTGATTAAATAAATGCAGCTTTGCTGAATATAAGAGACAAAAATGGTAGTTTAAGTAAGAAAACAAATTAAATGAACACACAATTTCAATTATATTTTATGTCTTACCATTTTCCTTGACTGTTGCTGAACTGTTGAACAGAGTAACCAAACTGTTCTGCTGCCAACTGTGAGAAGATCTTAGCTCCAGAAGTCCCCACATTAAAACCTTGAGCTTTATCAATGCTAAAACCTGTAGAGACATGCAAATATCAGTATTTTGTCTTATATATAACATACACATATTACACTAACAACACTAACAGAAAAACAAGAATAAGGAAGCAGAACAATATCTTGTCTGATAAGCTACATTATATCCTCTGTGTGTTTTTTTTTTTTGATATGCAGACAAGCTACAGCATGAATGTGAACCTATGAGAGATGGAGCGACTGAGTGCAGGAAAACTTTGATGTAGTCATTCTTGGAGATAGTAAACAATATTTACTCACATATTTACTCACAGAGATGAACCTCGCGGTTTTGTGAAAGAGCTTTATGGGTCAAATGACATGAGTATAAAGGAACAACCTTTTAAAAATCTATTTTAAAAATGTGTCATGTTCTAAAAATATAAGATTTGTATTCATGCTGGTTTCATATGGGTTTAAACTTTTAAAACTTTTTAAAGACAAGTTTCAATTTAATGATTCATTACACTTTGAATTATGTGAGTGCACACAAAAAAGTTCTTAATATACTTTAACAGTCTCAGTTATGTTCCTTTGATAAAATATAGAAACATGCCTGAGCAGAGCTTCACTCTGATGAGTCAAAGCTCCCTGTGCATCTTTAAACATCTTCATCTATCTTGGTCATCTGGTCTCTCTGTTTATTTTTGTTATCATTTTAATCTGAAGCTCAGTAGAAATGACATAATCTGCTAAAAATAAGTGTGATCAACATGAATGAAGTGACATATAGTATTTCCTCTATATGAGTTCTCCATTGATTATTTAAAGAGACAGGCACACAGTCAGCACACAAAGACAGCCTTTAAACAGTGTAGTGAGCAGCAGTGCTGATGGACACATGAAACGAGACAGAGGATGAATTAAGTCATGAACAGAACTGAACGGAAACAGTGTGGAGAGGTCAGACTGTGGGGTTAAAGAGAGAGAGAGAATGTGCTTCCAGTCCAGTGCCCTCTTTATGATCAGTAAGCCAGTTTAGACACTGATCTTTGACACCATTCAGAACAGACAATAACTACAACACTTTTGACAAGCATCCTACACCATTTAACCATGATGTTTTGACCACTGTGTGGGTAAAGCCACATTTATCACTAATGATAATCTGAATAAATAATTATTCTTCCAAGTAATATAGTTCACTAACTTCAGGCAGTTTGTGGTTGCCACGCACTTCAAAATAGGGGGGTTTTCGATCCCATAGAGGAACCATTTTTGGTTCCCCAAAGAACCTTTCAGTGAACAGTACTCAAAATAAGCATGTTTTTCTGTGCGAAGAACATTTAAATAATTTAAAGAACTTTTTTTTTTCCACTACAAAGCACATTTGTGGAATGCAAAGATTCCATGGATGTTAAAGGCTTTTCATGAAACCACTGATGCAAGAACTGTTATTTTTAAGAGTGTAAGCAACTTATTTATTCAATCAGAATTTGGAGTCTGAACTGTGATATACAGTATATATATATATATATATTAGTGCTGTCAAACGATTCATTGCGATTGTAAAGAATAGTCTTAACCGATTCTATTGCCTTGATTTTGTACAGTAGAAAACTGAATAATACATTAAATGCTCTTTCTAACAAACATTTATTACTTTACAGACCTGCAGTTTAGTAATGGCTAAATTAAGTGAAACTGTCAAACTATATCCCAATATACATTAAATATGTAAACTGAGAATGTATAAACACTTAAATATATATTTGTGTAAGAGAATGTTAATATCTTACAGAAATGTACTTAAAAAAATTTTTTTCAAAATAAAACCATCAACGTATAACACTTTTGTTTGTCAAAGTGCAAAACATGCTAACGCCAAACTACTACATGTGATAAATTACCAAATGGTGTGAAAGTGCATAGTTTACGTGCACATCAGTTTATACAGTAAACCACAAAAATGTTCCTCACAGGCCCATTTAAAGGAAACAAAAAGGCTAAAACTGGTAATAAATTTCTCACGTATACACAAAACCATTCATCTCCTACACAAAGTATTTTCTCAAGTGCACTGAGCTTGACTTATTTACAACACTTCAGCTGTAAGTTCAGCGTTGTTGTCATTCAGTTTTACAGCATGACAATATTGTAATAGAAATAAACCTGCATGTTTGCATAAGTACTTACACAGAACAGCGAGAAGTACCTGCAGAATATTCATTTTATTGATTTGAAGTCCACAGTGCCATCCAGCATCGGGCTCTCCAGTGTCTCTGCATCCAGTCTAGTGAGAGCGTGAAACAGCCGAGCAGCGCTGGAGCTGGGCGGAGGAGGAGGAGGAAGAGGAAGAGGGCGGATTGCTCGAACACTTCAACTCAGCTCCCACAAACTAAACCCAAGCTCACACCTTCAAACGCAACCATGTATGGTGAAAGTACGTCGAACAGGTGAAAAGTTCGCCTACCCATTGCGAGGCAACAGAATATGATGAAAATCAAAAGTTTTTGCCAAATTTATTGGTGCACAGCAAATACTTAGGTATGGCTGTTACTAAATAAAATGGCTACAGATCAACAACAGCTGCATTGGTAAAATCGTGCTAAACGTTATCTTATGGAGATTAAAATTAAAAGCTGAAAGTGTAAAAATGTATAATTAATAGGATGAACTGCAGCTGTGGTTACTTTTGACATGATGTGTTTCCACAGATATCAACATCGTCAATTGTTAATTTTTTAAATTACATTAATCTATCTATCTTAGTTTGCATTATTTACATTTATTATTTATATTGTTTGTTTGCATTATCTAATGTACAATATCTCCAAATATTAATAGCAATGATGATAAGTAGTAAATTATAAAATAGTAAATAATAATAGTCCCAACTATGATAACTTTTGATTCGGAGAACTTTGGAAATGTGAAAAACAAAAGTTGTTTTAAAAGTAGTAACATTCTGATATTTTAAGTGTGACTTGAGATGTTTAGCGTCACTGTATACTTACTGAACAATAATTGCTTTGGTAAAGATAAACCTAATAATCATTCAGCTCTTTAAGATATGCTTATTCCAGAATAGCCACAAAGAAGAGGAAAAATAAGAAACCAGGCCAACAAAAACAAAGTTTAAAGAACATAATTTAATCTTCCCCCGGGGCTTGAACAATCACAACAGTAAGAGTCATTCATAATAAGTATTTCACATCGAGGAGTTATAACCACAGTGTGTGTGTGTGTATCATCGTACTGGGGGTTTGTGCATGAGCGAGGTAAACGTCTCCGAAACACTCAACAACAAAACAGCAGAACATTAATGAAAAAGACTAACTTCAAATGATGTATTTACAGAATTATTTGTCATGATTTAACTGAGAACCAAGTACAAACTGAAGCAAGTCAGAACGAGAAGGAAGCAGGAGCTGACAGAGGCATAAACTTCAGACATTCACCCCACCCTCTCTGTCTTTAAGGCTCTCATGCGTGTACCAACTCATTCGTTCATTCTTTGGAGGCCTAAATAGGAGTGAGCACTGAACGAGCAAGTGCACGAGAGTCAACAGTTGTGAGATGGTTTAAAATACAGTGATATTCACAAGCCAGACCTCCTGGCAGGACCCGAATGGCAGTAAACTGAATATCAGTTATTAATATGTACATTTCAAGGTAATATTATTCTCATGTAGTCACAGAGGTGAGCGTTTATGTCCCGTTCATGCTGGATTCTCACACAGACCCTCTTGTTCTGCCGGATCCGGTTCATTTCCCTGTGGCAAAGGCTTCCTCTTGAAGAAGCCAACCTGGTGGGACATCAGTACTGTATATTATTACAATAAAGCATTTTACTTTGTCAAAATTACAGTGTATTAATACAGTTGCAATTCATGCTAAAACAAAGAGCTCATACCTTCCATAGGATCACCGTAGCTAGAGCCCAAAGGAGGAGGCCGCCAATGACACTTCCTATGATTATACCAATAGGAATATCCCCAATCGCGCCTTCTTTACTCACTGTAATTTTTATCTGCAGCAGAGTCAGGAAAAATTAGATAAAGCATATTACCACACCCATATAAAGTATAGGGTTGTTCCGATAAACTATAGTATCGTGTATCGACGTTAGCCAGTCATATCGCCTGTGACTGAAGCCTTTGACGACAGCAAGGCGATTATTATTAGCATGCTAGTAATACGATCTAATTAATATTTATAATTAATATATTTTACAGTGTTGTGCGTTATAACCAATCACACATGATTCTGTTGATTTTATGAATGCAATGGCCAATCAGAGGCGTTCAGATGAGTCATCGCTGAAACACCACAGTTTTATTGTTCAGTGCATGCGCTCGCTGACTGAATTCTGCTCTCTCGCGAATTCTCTCATCATAAACAACAAAGTGCAGATGTACGTGTGATGCAAGTATAAGACATTTATTCATTATATAGTGTAGATAGCTTCACTGATTATAACGGGAGTGTTTTTTAAGTGCATAAACTCGCGCTAGACTGAAGTCAGTGATGATGTTCTTTGCTCGTTTTCTGTAGCTGCTGTTTGAATAACTGAGGGAATGTAAGCATTATAATTAGTAACTTACAATGTTTATGTTCAATTGTTATCATGTTAAATACAAATTCAATCATATTATAAACATTAGGCTGATTTTAGCCTTACCCTGGAGTTGGATTACTCTCTGGCTATATACTTTACTAGGTAAGTAAATAATTAAAAAACAGGAAAAGTAAATAATTAAATAAATTAGCATTATAATATTGTGTATCGGCTTAAATATTTAAATATTAGTTGTATTTTACGCACACACACACACACACACACACACACACATATATATATATATATATATTGTATATATATATGTAAATTATTATTATTTTTTTTAAATATTTTTTAAAGGAAACCTATTTGACAGTGTGGTCTGTTATACAAGTAAACTTAATTAAAGACATTGAACTACTTAATTCCAAACTTCTGCTTCTCAAGTATGTCATTTTAAGAATGTTTAGGCTTTTTATGGGAAAACATAGCAAAAGTGCTTAAAACAAGCATACTGGTCAAAAACCAACTTCTGTATTAGTTCTGCTGATGAACAGAACAGCTATGTTGGTCAACCAACAAGATGCGCACCAGACTAAACCAGCCAAGCACAGAGAATCACTCTAGGCCAAGCTGATGTTTTTTTTCAGCAGGGTTGATCATCTTAAACACAACTGAAAGACAGAGGGATGAACTGACCTGTTGTTGTTTGTGTGTGACGACTATGAGATCAGGCTGAGATGTTTGTATCTCAGAGCTTCCAGCCACTAAAACTGTCTGAAAATCAGCCTGGAAGGAAATAAAGCGGGGAATAAAGCATCTGCTCAGGACAGATAACAGAAATAGTAGATAGGGATCAAGCAGTTCAAGAGACACTTACAAAGGCAAATGTGCCATTCCAGATCCTAGTGGTGATGTTTACAAAGTAGTTGGTCTTCATCTCCAGATCTTTGAGGACACAAGTCATGGTTTCACATTTTGCTGCCTTACAATCCTGGAAATTAAAAAAAAAGTACTGTATTATACACTACCATTTAAAATAGTGCGTGGGGTTGGTACGTATTTTTTTAATGTTTATTAAACAAAGTCTCTGCAGCTCACCAAGGATGCATTTATTTGATAAAAAATAAGACAGTAATATTGTGAAATATAATTATAATTTCAAATAATTGTTTTCTATGTGATTATATTTTAAAATGTAATTTATTCCTGTGATCAAAGCTGAATTTTTAGCATAATTTCTCCAGTCTTCAGAGTCACATGATCCTTCAGAAATCATTCTAATATGCTGATTTGCTGCTCGAGAAACATTTATTATTATTATTATTATGTTGAAAACCCAGAACGCCCATGTTACAGCATGTATAATTTAATATAAACACACACGCATACTGACCAGTCCTGCTGTCCCTCTGAAGCTCTCTTTAGTGAAGCTGGCAGTGTGTGCTTTCTCTCTGATCTTCAGTGGGTCAATCAGATGGCTGCTATCACACCACACATTTACAACCTACTCAGCAGAAACAGAGATTAAACGTCCTGGTTTTTCATCCCAGTCTGGTAATTACAGTATAAATACTTGTGCAGTGAAATACTTTATTTGTAAAGAAAATGATAGAAAATAATGAATGTTTCTTAATACATTTTAATAGAGCATTATACTTACAGGTGCCGTTTTGACTGAAGTCACATATAGTAAAGGATTTCCAGCTTTGGTGCTGGTGGGCAGCGAGACGGTCAGATGAGCCTGATTGATTGGGAAAGTTCCTGTTGAAACCTGCAGAAAGACATGCTTAAATGAACTATCGCATAGTTCACATTGCTAACACTAGAGGGAACTTCAGACATATTAGTTTAATGTGAAATATACTTTTTTTTTTTTTACTCACTCGTAATGTTATGTCAAATTCTGGGCCGATGTCATCGAAACCTGAGACAGTATGTTTGACTTGATCCTCAGGACCAATGCCGCAAAAATCCAAGTTTAAGTCTCTAGAAAAATTATTGAAAAGAAGAAATGGAACTAGTTTATACATTACAAAAACTTATGAGCCTTTTTTTCTGTGATAGAGGTCAAGGTTAATATACAGTATATAGTGGTCAAAATACATACAGTGGTCTAAAGTTTGGAACAATTAGTTTTTTTAGTCTGCATTATCATAAATTTCTTATTATTATCAATGATGAAAACAGTTGTGCTGCTTAATATTTTTGAGGAAACCATGATACTATAATTCAAAGGTTTTAGGGTAAGATTTAAAAAAAAAAAATAGCAATGAATACTTTCATTTAACAAGAATTCATTAAATTGATCAAAAAGTAACAGTATAGACATTAATAATGTTACCAAAGATTAATCCTGTTCTTGCGCTATTCATCAAAGAATCCTGAAAAAAGTATCAATGTTTCCACAAAAGTATTAAGCAGCAAAAACTGTTTTCAACTTTGATCATATTAATAACTGAGCAGCAAATCAGCATATTAGAATGATTTCATATGACAAATTAGTTTAATGTGAAATATACTTTTTTTTTTTTTACTCACTCGTAATGTTATGTCAAATTCTGGGCCGATGTCATCGAAACCTGAGACAGTATGTTTGACTTGATCCTCAGGACCAATGCCGCAAAAATCCAAGTTTAAGTCTCTAGAAAAATTATTGAAAAGAAGAAATGGAACTACAGTTTTTACATTACAAAAACTTATGAGCCTTTTTTTCTGTGATAGAGGTCAAGGTTAATATACAGTATATAGTGGTCAAAATACATACAGTGGTCTAAAGTTTGGAACAATTAGTTTTTTTAGTCTGCATTATCATAAATTTCTTATTATTATCAATGATGAAAACAGTTGTGCTGCTTAATATTTTTGAGGAAACCATGATACTATAATTCAAAGGTTTTAGGGTAAGATTTAAAAAAAAAAAATAGCAATGAATACTTTCATTTAACAAGAATTCATTAAATTGATCAAAAAGTAACAGTATAGACATTAATAATGTTACCAAAGATTAATCCTGTTCTTGCGCTATTCATCAAAGAATCCTGAAAAAAGTATCAATGTTTCCACAAAAGTATTAAGCAGCAAAAACTGTTTTCAACTTTGATCATATTAATAACTGAGCAGCAAATCAGCATATTAGAATGATTTCATATGACACTGAAGACTGGAGTAATGATGCTAAAATTTAGCTTGAATAAATTACATTGTAAAATATATTGCAATAGAAAACAGTTATTTAAAATTGTAATAATAATAATAATTCACAATATTACTGTTTTATTGTATTTTTAATCAAATAAATGTAGTCTTGGTGAGCAGAAGAGACTTCTTACATGAAAAAACTTAATTATTTCAAATGTTTGACCACTTTACAAGCAGATAAAGGTTATCAGAGCATTACTTTGACCTCTGACCTGGTGAGGATGATTTCGGCGTCATACTGGACTGGGATGGAGAGAGAGACCTTGTTATCAGATGTCACCTCCTCCTCACTGTCACTGGAAACAGTTATGTAGGGTTATTTACAGTTTAAACCAAACAGTTACACAAAAGTTAGAACTGTGTTAAAAACAGTACTTTTACCTTTGCACTTCAAAGTTCACAACAGCCTGTTTCTCTAGTTGATTTAAGTTGAAGTCAAAGTTGATCTCAAATGTTACCTGATGAGGCAAAATGAAATTATTAATGAAAATGAAAAGTGTCTCTCTCACACACACACACACACACACACACACACACACACACACACACACACACAGATGCTTTTCTCTTACTGTCTGGCCAGGCGTCAAGGTTGGATATCCAACTCTGCAGTCGAGTGAGCCTGTTTTTGAACTGCATTTCACCTCAGTGTTGTCTCCCTGCACACACAAGCAAGAAGATTCACAGAGACAATTTCTCGTACACAAACCAGAGCAGACTTATGCCAGAACACAACATGGTGGCCGTACAGGTGGTGTAAAAGAGGCGTAGAACAGGTTCCTGGAGAAGTTAGCAGACACTCTTGTGTTGTACACATTTTCCTTCATGTTCGTTACTGTCACGACGAAGGACAGTCTTCTTCTGTCAGGTCTGACTAGAAGTGAAGATGAGCTGCAAAACACAACAAAATCTTGTTACATTTCAGGATTCTGGTTCTTTTAATACATCTAGCCCTGCTGGTAGTAACTGATTCTTTTTAGTTGACTCTTAAAGGGACAGTTCACACTAACAAAAAGTCTGTCTTTCTTTCTCTCCTAGAGATTCCCAAACGTCTTTTTCAGCAGAACCTATTTGACTTTTTACTTGAAGCACTCCCTGATATTTTGAATTAATTTGAATAATTTAACATCACATTTACATGTTCATGGTTCTCTGATGTCAGTTAATGTAACTTGACATGCATATAAACCAATAATGTGATATGCTTCAAATATCTTTTTTAGTACATGTTTGATTTAGATTTTGGGCAAATTAGCGTGAGAGCACAATTCCAAAACAGCGCAGATGGGCGTGGAAATTTCTGCGGGTGATTTACTGACAATGCGCAAATTAAAGAGCGCAGACGCAACATCTTATTTACATATCGACCAACGCAATCTACCAAGCGCAACGTAAATCAGCGTAAGGATATGTTCGGATTGGGATAATGTGTTCTTCTGGCATTCCAAACATTAATGAATTAATTTATACGTGTGGAAAAAATCCTCTCCGTTCTACCATGCGCTCTCTGTTCTCTGCGGTGCCTCCTCCTAGCAACAACAAATGCAGCCATTTCAAGCGCAAAATAGTTTAAGACTAACAAGTGCAAACGTTAGTAAATCGGTGCATGATTCATTTGAATACTCTCCTCCCATACATTTTGCGTCTGAAAGGGTAAATCCTGACAGTATACTATTTTAACACCAAAAGACGCTAGTAAATCTGTCCCTTTATTTTAAAATTATTAGATTTAGTTTTTATTTTAAAATTATTTATTTATTTTACATTTTAAGTAATTATTACAAGGAGATTACTGAATAATCTCCTTGGTCTGGCCTTCATACAAAGTTGAATAGACGGCTCTTATGAAATTTTAGTATTACTTATATACTATCACAGCATTTATTGTTATATTTCTAGGTTTTATATTTTTTATTTATATTTCCAGTTTTAATTTTAGTTTAAGTTTTAGTAATTTGGTTTTGAAATTTTGACATTTTTATTAGATTTTCCTTTATGCATATATATATATATATGTGTGTGTGTGTGTGTGTGTGTATATATACATATATAGTTTTAATCTATTTTTGTTTGGGTAATTTTAGTACTTCCACTTTAACTTATTTATTTCAGTTAGTTGGCAAGGCAACATTTCAATTTTTTTATTTGTTTTCAAGTTTAAATTTTCATCTTATATTTACATTCTTAGTAGTTTTACCATTTTACATTTTACTTTCATTGTGTGTGTTTTTGTGTAAGGTTACCTAGATACATCAACAGCTTTCACAGTCAGCTTCAGGTCACAAGAGCATTTGTCATCAGAGCCACAGTCCTTTACAAAAGGGATCTGAGCAAACAGGAATACATTTGAGACAGTTTAAAAACTTTGAAACGACTGAAACTGATGCCCTTAATTATATTCAGAGGGAAGCTTACAAAAAATTCCCACGCTTTGGGCTGAAATGCATCCAGGGCAGGGCCCGTGTCTGGATTCTGTGGACTGATGTCGACTCGCAAAGCAACTGGACTCACAAAATCAGGAGTCTCCT